GAAGGCGGAGTCGGATTACCTATTTCAGAATAGGAACACGATAATAAAAATCCAACTCTTCAAAATAAGACTTTAAAGAAAAATCCTAATTTCCCGGGTTTCCCTTAAGTACTAGGAACGAGACGTCCCTAAGGTCCAATCTAAGGGTTTCAAGCGCTGGAAAAGTCTCGGAAGACACCCGGTCAACCGGACGGTCAAAACTTTAAATTAATAAATCGGAACATCCGGGGCTCCGATTCGTGATCCGCAAATTCCTATACGATCCTAGGAATACCAGGAACAACATACGTGAAATTGGGTTTGATCCAACGGTCCAAACACATTAATTGAGATCCGTAAACTCCTATGCGCTCGTGACAACACAAGGATCATTCTAGGATAAAATGTGGCCTCTGCCGGACTGCCCACGCGCCGCCCCACGCGCTGCCGCGCGTGGGTGGCTTGATCACTTTTCAGGTGACCGGAAAAACTTAAAATTTTGGCTCCAAACTCCTGTCCTAGGTAATACACCTAATTTGGAGTCACTTTTGTTCTTGGGTAATGGCCAAAAAATGGCCGGAAGTAGCCGGAAATCCCAACTAAAAACCGGCTGAAGCTAAATTTCGAAATTTGACTTGTAAACTCTCAAAATTTCTGGAAACCCAACCAACAGGCAGCTAGAGCACGAAAAATAGATGAATTTTCATACCTCACTCGTCCAATTCGGTGGAGAAACGAAGGAGAACGGAGGTGTTGAAGTTTCTGAAAATTTCAGAAAATTTGCAGCAGCTTTGCTGCGTTTTCCGGCGGTCTCGACGGCGGCTTCCGGCTGAAGATGGGCTGGGGTTCGAAGGCGAGGTCCGGCCGGTCCTTTTGGCTCCGGTCTCGTGCGCTGCCGTGGCCGGTGGCCTGAGTTACAAAGGGAGGAAGGGAGAGCGATGGAGTCGGGGAGAGAGAGAGGAGAGAACGCACGGGAGAGACAGAGAGAGAGGGAAATGAGAGAAATAATCAGATTTTCTGATTTTAACAAAATTCATTTCTGAAAATTTTCAATTAGGCCCTTAATGGTTTTTCAACCATATCTTTCTCGTTCCAAGTCCGAATCGAGCCTACTCCGTGTCTACAGACTCGGCTCAGTACCACCTATCTAAAAACACCACTTGCTGCCCCAAACTCTCTCCGGATAAGATTTGACCTTTTTGCCCCCACTTCAAAGGCAAAATTGGAAATTCCAAATTTTAATTAAATTAAAACCAATCTTAATAATATTTTTGGGTCGGGATGTTACAGGTATACACCTGATTTAAAATGGTATTGTACAAAACATGAATCTAAACGAAAAAGAATTCCTATGAGAGCTTTTATAGCTTATCAAATACAAGAAAGAATGTTTCAATTAGATACATTATTAAAAGGTGGAAGATTGTTCCAACAATTTTTAGTAGACGCTTATGCAACACTTGAAGAGGATCGATTAGATTATATTAGGAAAAATCAAAAAAATTTAAGAAGTGAGGTTTATAAAGGCATTTATGATGCAATTTCAAAGGGTGACAATGATGCTAATAACATAGGTCAAAGAATAATATTGCCTAGCTCATATACTGGAAGTGCTAGATACATGCTTAACAATTATCAAGATGCTATGGCAATTTGTAGACAATATGGAAATCCTGATTTATTTATAACTTTCACATGCAATGTCAAATGGCCTGAAATTGTAAGAGAGTTTGATAAAAAACCTGGATACAAACCAGAAGATCGGCCTGATATAGTTTCAAGATTATTTAAAATAAAACTTGATGATATGATCAATTATATCAAATCAGGAGAACCTTTTGGAGAAATTGAAGCAGGTAAATTTTAAAAACACACCATTTATACTACTTTCCATTTTTATCATTTTATTAAATAATAAAACTAACTAAGAATTTTTTCCCTTTTCTCACCCAATCAACAACAGATGTTTGTACTGTTGAATTCCAAAAAAGAGGATTGCCACATGCTCACATGTTGATCTGGTTGAAACAAAATTATAAATGTTATTCAGCGGTTGATATAGATTCTATCATTTCTACTGAATTGCCAGACAAAACTATAAATTATGCTCTTTATGATATTGTTGCTCAATTTATGATCCATGGTCCATGCGGACAAATAAATCCGAATTCTCCATGTATGCGAGAAGGCAAATGTTCTAAATCTTTTCCCAAACAATATAAAAGTGAAACAATTTTTGAAACAAATGGTTACCCTGTATATAGACGTCGTGACGACCCAACAAAATTTGTGATGAAAAATGGAATGCAAATTGATAACAGTTTTGTAGTACCTTACAATTCTAAATTACTGCTTAGATACAACGCTCATATAAATGTTGAATCCTGTTGTCAATCAATGCTTATAAAATATCTTTTCAAATATATAAACAAAGGTTCAGATAGAGCTAGAGTAGTTTTCCAAGAGAAACAACAAGATGAAATACTAGCCTATCTAAATTGTAGATACATATCTCCATATGAAGCTGTTTGGAGGTTGTTTCAATATCCTATACATTTTAGAAAACCCTCAGTTGAACGATTACCAATACATTTACCTTTAGAACAAAATATTATTTTCAATGGTGATCAGTCGCTTCAATCAATTGTTAACCAAAAAAATATTGAATATACAATGTTAACAAGTTGGTTTGAAGCTAATAAAACTTTTCCTGAAGCACGAACATTAACTTATGCAGAATTCCCTTCAAAATTTGTGTGGGATTCTCACACTAAGATGTGGAAGCCTAGAAAGAAAAAAAAGGATCCCTTGGTAGAATAGCTTATGTACATCCTGCATCTGGTGAATTATATTATTTAAGAATGCTTTTGAATTTGCAAAAAGGGGCCTTTCACTTTAATGACCTAAAAACTGTTAATGGTATCATAGAACCATCATACCAAGCTGCATGTAAATCCCTAGGTTTGTTAGGAGATGATAAAGAGTGGATTGAAGCCTTAGCAAATGCTGCAAACACAGCCACATGCCCTCAATTAAGGCAATTATTTGTCACAATCATTTTATTTTGTGATGTAGGAAATCCCCAAATTCTTTTTGACACTTATTGGCAAAATATGTCTGACAACATTTTACACAAATTACGACAAACTTTCGCAATGCCAAATCTAATTGTATCAGAATCTGAATTAAAAAATTCTCTTTTATTTGAATTAGAACAGCTTTTTAATGTATCTTCCAGCTCTTTAAAAGAGCATCACCTTCCTAAGCCTGATGAATATAGAATGTTAGAACTTAGAAATAAATTGCTTAGAGAAGAATTAAATTATGATTATAATAATTTAGAAAAAGAACACTCAATTTTAGTTACACAGCTCAACAAAGGTCAAAAAGATGTATATGATTGTGTTATAAAAACTGTTGAAGAAAAAATGCCAGGCCTCTTTTTTGTCCACGGTCATGGAGGAACAGGAAAAACTTTTTTGTGGCATACTATAATAAGTAAAATTCGATCCCAAGGAAATATTGTTTTAGCTGTTGCTTCATCAGGAATAGCATCGTTATTATTACCTGGTGGTAGAACAGCTCACTCTAGATTTAAAATTTTGAAAACCTTACCATTTTATATCCTAGAGAATTTTTAAACAAACTTGAATTCAATGGTTTACCTTGGTATTATTTAGCTTTAAAAATAGGAATGCCCATCATGCTATTGAGAAACTTAAATCAATCTTCAGGTTTGTGTAATGGAACACGATTAGTTATCACACAATTGTATGATAAAATTATCGAAGCAAAAATACTTGCTTTATGTTCAGCGGCCTTCAGTGTATCCTGGTTGACCAAATGGTAAGAAAAGCTCTTTTTTATGTTATTTCAATTTAACTATAATAACATATCTATTATCATATATTTGTATTTCCTTGCCTTTAAATATAATTTCCCCCTTATTAAGTTTTCTTTTCCTCTTTTTTTAATTATGTAGATAGATGCAATACAAGCTAGCATCAAAGATATCGACTATGATTTCATAGCTCCAAAAATAAAAGCTGGTAGCATTTATGAAATAACACATTTCCACACTGGTCGCAACAAACCATCACACAAAGTTGTACCACATGTTGCACAGTTATTCTTCAAAGCGAGAACAATTTTCAAAGAACTACCAACCATTCACGCACACATTCCAAGGCATCGGTTTTATCTGGTCGATTATACTCAATTATCCACTCGCATAGGCAAAATTGACATCCTAACAGGTAATATTCTATATATTATTAAAAACTATACATCTATATATAATAAGTATTTATCCAAAATATTTACACATTTTAATATCCTTATAACATATTTTTATCAAATTGCAAGATGTTTTTGGACACATTACTGGAATACAGCCATTGGAACAAAAAATGGTCGGCCATGAGAGGCTTGAGAATAAATATGAACTTTGCATTGAAAATATCAGGTACAAATATCAGAAAATGTTTACCATTACAATTTTAAACTATAATGTCTCTTTCTAAAATATTTTTTTCTCCACATCTAATCATTCAGGAAAGAAGATGTTAGAATTACCCTGTGGGGAGATACTACAAAGACTTCTGATTCTCAAGCTTTACAACAATTGACATCGCCAATATTTGCAGCTTTTACAAGACTGAAAGTAAACAATTTCAAGGTATCCAATTTATTTTCACTTTTTCCTATTATTTACACTTCATGTAATAAAAACAAATCTAATTTATGATTTATCAACATGTAGGGAAAATTGTTCTCAACATATTTACGCATTTTCTAACATTTACCAATATTTTGTTTTCTGTTCCATTTAGCATTTCTCTAAGTCATGCTCAAACCAAAAACAAATCTGAAAGAACTGTTACTACAAAAAGCATGGAGAAAATTGTATCAGATTCTAATTTACCAATCATTGGCTTAAAGAAGAAAACAAGCGAAGGCAGTTTGTCTACCAATTCTCCTGCCCCAAGATTAGAGTTTGTATTCTCTCTTTTAGGATTCACTCATCTCATTCAAATACATATTACATGCATAACATTCAATTATTCATACATTCATTCTTCAGTCAATCTTTATATATTAAATTGTAACAAATTGTGTTGAATTTGACAAAATCATCATTTTTGTGATATTCTGATTGATGCTTTGTTTTAATATTAGGTTCCTTTCAATTAATGTATTATAAAATTATCTCTATTTATTATATAGGTCTAAAAACCATTTAAACCACTATTGAATTACATATAAATGAAATTTTTGCATGCTGAACATTTGGGAATACTATTAAATTGTCATATTTACAGGTGAATTTTTTTAGAAAATATCCGTTTTTCAGGGGAAACTCTGTCCGTTTTCCGGCAAAAATGTCAAACCCTTAAGTAATTTTAACTTGAAATAAGGGCAAAAGACATTTTAGTCATGTGTACCTAACACATAAAAAAAATTAAAAACTTAAACATTATATCTACATCCTTTTCTTCAATTGGAAAACCATTCATTACTTTGTGTTTCTTCGATTGGAAAACCATTCATTACTTTGTGTTTCTTCGATTGGAAAACCATTCATTACTTTGTGTTTCTTCGATTGGAAAACCATTCATTACTTTGTGTTTCTTCGATTGGAAAACCATTCATTACTTTGTGTTTCTTCGATTGGAAAACCATTCATTACTTTGTGTTTCTTCGATTGGAAAACCATTCATTACTTTGTGTTTCTTCGATTGGAAAACCATTCATTACTTTGTGTTTCTTCGATTGGAAAACCATTCATTACTTTGTGTTTCTTCGATTGGAAAACCATTCATTACTTTGTGTTTCTTCGATTGGAAAACCATTCATTACTATATATCTCATTATATATATATATATATATATATATAAACAATCTTATTTTGTCTGCAAAATTTCAAAACCCGCAGCATCTCGCGGGCTTTTTTGCTAGTAACAACGACAGTTGAACCATTCATTTAAACCAAATATTGATTTGCCCAAAGTGATCCAACGCCAGAAATCCAATCTAAGATCAGCAAAAGCTCCCAGACATTAATAGGATTGATATTCATTAACAATTCCTGCACGTGCTGGACAAAATACTCATTAAAAAAAAATCCAAAACACAAACAAAATCAATCATAATAAGGACCTTTTGGCATGTAGTATAACAAAATTAAAACAATTATTTAGTGGAGTAGATACTTAAAGACTATAAGAATGTCAAATCGAAGATTGTCTGAAGGTTTTCTGAGCATGTCCATTTTAGGATTAGAAATAACAGTGGATGCATGAAGACATTTAAGATTCAAATTTTCTGAAGCAACAGGTTCACACACAACATTAGCTTAGGCACATATACATTTATGATTTTCCTTTTTCCTCCAAACTAACTTTGTCTTTGTTAATGTGAGGAACGAAAAGAAGATAGTTTGGATAAGTGTTTTACCTCTTTCATAAGATTTGAAATCTTATGTTGGATACTTACCTTACCTCCCATGACATGAGAATTCGACCTTACAGTTCCATTGTGGAGCAAGTTGCACCTTGGTCAAATATGGCCACGAGTGCCACAAAAATGACAAATTGGAACGAATCTGACAAGACCAGACCCAAATTCCACTTTGGAATCTGCGCCGAACTCTTTGTGCGTCCGACACCTGGCAGGTGCCGGGCACACTTGACCAAATTGCCCTTTTAACTAAGACTCAACAATTCTTCTAAGGTTTGACTTCTGCAGAAAAATCGGCAAAGTCTCCCCTCTAAAACGGACATTTCCCAAACACTTTCCACCTATAAAAATATACAGTTAAAATTGAAATTCAAATCCCAATTGTTTAGCATGCATTAGACAAATAACTTTAAATAGTTTCAAACCTCCTTATACTAAATAAATCATTCTGCCATCTGAAACTGGTTTCAACTCTTAGAATCAACATAAATACGTTAACAAGTTCCAATATAACTTAACTGAACAAATTTTCAACACTTGATCTTGTAGCTGCACCTAGTAACTCTAGGTTGCCTACGTATCTTTACTAAGGGATCAAGCCATACGTAGTTCTTTCTACATTAATTGTAAGTAAACAAAGGTAACTTAATCAAATAAAATCGAGAAACCTTCATAAATAATTTAGATCAATCCACTGAAACTCAATCAAGGGATATTGAGGTTAGAACAATCTTCTACTCATCCCACATGTGTATAAATAAATAAATTTATATATATATATATATAAATTTAACTTATTACTTATAAGTAGGAAAACGAGAAAATTATTAAAATAGTATTGACCACGTGAAACCTTAAAGTCAATATCAACAATTTAAAGAAAATATGTTTCCCTCTTTCACATGTAAAAACAAATTCATCACTTAAGAAAATAATTGTGAATTATATAAAAGCCTTAAAACTTAGAAAACTCTCAATCCTTGTCTCATAAGTTGGAAAACATATATTAAAACCTTCACGAATAAGTACCAAGATAAAATCATCAATTTTAGTTTAAAACATTTCAAAACTCAAATACTCTCCACCTAGGCGTACCCCAATTCATGATCCGTCAATTTCAAGTGTCACATAAGCGACACATCCTCGCAAGCCTTGGAAACATAAAGTCAACCAGAGCCGAATTCCTCGCAGAACTCGGGGGACACGTAGTCAGCTCGAGAACGTACATCCTCGCAGAACTTGGGGGACATGTAGTCAGCCCGAGAACGCATATCCTCGCACCACACGGTTCAAGCGTCCCCGAAACTCGTGGGGCATTGTCATAAATGACAAAACTATTTCAAAGGCAATTGGGGGGTACTCTTGTGGTGGGTTTGAAAACCATATTCCAAAACTTAGCATAAAATTTCTACTTTCCAACAAATCCCCTTTTTCAAATCCATTTTCCAATCTTTTCTCAACTTCCTAAAAATAAATCCTTAAAAAGCTAAACAAAAATTCCTTCTTAAAACAGGAGCAATTCCAACATTTCTTAAATGACTTGACCATGCATAATCTATCAAAACAATTTTCGTCAACATTTAAATATGTAAGACATACTATCCAGTAAACTGGTATTCCTGATTTATTAGTTCAAGCCACTGAGCATATATTTAAATATAGACATATAATTAGGCATTTAATTAATTCCTTATTCATGCCAAAACTCGGTTAACCAAGCCATTCCCAACTCCACACAATTAAATATAATATAATATACTTGGAAACTGAAAGCGACTGCAATAATTCATAAACATTTAATAAAACTCTTTAAGCATAACACCATTTTAAAACAAACCTCTAATTGCTATTACAAATACTAAATGGCATCAACCGAGCCGACATAGCCCACAATTTAAGTCAACTGGGCTCGTAGGGCCTACTACCTCATGAGTAAACCCATCGGTTTGACCCCAATGTCGGAATTTGACTAATTGGGCCTGCAGAGCCCACAACCTTCGATTTCATATCCGAACATTCCTACAAGTCCAACAAGGTCTACTTAACATGTCCCGAGAGTTTGGTCTTGATTGAGAGGTCGGATCACTCCCAATCGCACGATCGGACGGTTACCGTTTTACGTAAATTTTGACTCATTGTTTCGGAGTATCTGGGACTCCGATTCTCAATTCGTGAGTTCCTTCACGATCCTAGAGGTTCCTAAATCAACATATTTGAAAATGAAGTCGATCCAACGGTTCAAACATATTGAACCCGGATAACACCCAATATGCGATATCCGATCGACAGTCAAACGATAACCAAATTCAAATCCGAGCATACTGTCGTGCTCAGGACGACATGGGGATCATTTTAGGACCCATTGGCCTTCCACAAAGTGGTCCACGCATCGGCAGCAGGTAGGTGCACAGAGTAAATTTCGACTATCGAAAAATCTCTAAATCGCCGGTCAAGACCTATACCAAAAGATCAAGCACATCAAGAAGAGTAAGTTTCACACCTAAGTTGAAGACTAATTTGGGCATTAAAGCCCTTGAATGGATGGTTTTCTCTTCTGAAAACCTAGAAATTTCTAAGTTTGGATTCAATGATTTCGAGATAAAATCACGTCAGGTCTTCGAGGGAAATTACAAAAGGGAGGTAGGTGAGTGGTTTAGGTGTGATAGCACGGCCGTTGGTGGCAGGAGTTGGCCGGAAAAACCCTCAAAAGTTCCAGTTTCGAAACATCCCATTTTGGGCTTCACTTTGGCTCGAATTTCTAGTTTAATCACTTGGAACCAATGCTAGATATGGGTATGTATGGAAAAAAGAGAGAGCGATGAAGAGTTTGTAAGTTGTGGCACCAGTTTTGGTGGACAGACGGCAGAGATATCTCTGTCTGAAGTTTGCTACTCGTGAGAGCCTACTATGTGTCTACGGACTCATCTTGACATGCTCTCCGCAACGGTACTACCAAAAAAACAATCCCCAAATTCTTTCTCAAATTAAAAGTCAACTTTTAAACCCATTAAAATATTCTCGGGATAAAATCATCTTTTTCTTGAATAATTTAATCATTAAATATTAATTTAGGATCGGGTTATTACATAATCTCTTGACTTCTTAAGTTGATACAAGTTCAACAGGGGAGAGGATTTGACAAACTTCGTTTTCGACACAACGGAAGACTTATTACTTGGTTCAAATCCCAAGCCTCATTTGTCACTATCTCTTCTTCCCATGCTAATCATCTTGTCAATTTTTTATGCACCAATGATTAAAGAAACAATGTTTTCCTTTGAATTTTTAAGTTCAACTTCAAGGGCTTTGTTGTCATAGGTTAGAGAAATAATTAACTTATTCTGGTCAGTCAACCTTTTCTGCAAAAACATCAACTTTTCATTCATACCAGCACTTACCTTTTAAGAATTTGTGTCAGGGGATTGAAACCCGTTTGCAATCCTGCTATTTTCCAACTTCAGCGTGGCAACGGATTTGACAATCTCATCATTTCGTTTATTGAGTTTCTGAGAAGCATCCAACAAATCATTATATTTCTTCATGATAAACTTCATATTCATATCTTCACAATCACAATCCTTCTTTGTTGGTTTATCCAAGTGTACAGTTGTGATAAGTGCAATGGCCTTTAGATCATTTTCAGAGTCAGAATCAATGTCACTCCATGTAGTATGTAGTGCTTTATTTTTGCCATCCTTTTGTTTCTTTCAGGTGTTGGTAAATTCCGAAGATATGTGACCGTAGCCTTCACATTCGAAGCATTTGACTCTTTTTTTTTGTGTTCTTTTGTTCATTTGACCTCCAAGATTTAGACACACCATCAATATAGTCAAAAATCCTTATTTTTAGAATATA